TGGGAGGCACAAGTCAGATGGAGGATCTGGCTCTCGAGTCTTGGTGTCTCCGAAGACGCCCCCATTTTAGCTCTCCGGGTTCCTCCTGCTACCTGGCTCCTGCAAAGACCACCACCACCACGATGCACACGCACACGCGTGCACACACACACACGCGCACACACGCGCGCACACACGCACACACACACGCACACACACACACACACACACGCACACACACACGCAATTGGGACGAGAAGTGTTCTTGTACAGAGGGAGAGGAAGGGGAGGAAGGGTCCTACAGGGAACTTGAGATGACATCAGGCTTGCTAGTAGCCGATCCTACATCAGGAGGGAGCAGAAGACATCTGTAGCCTACGGGGGCTGAAGTGGAGCAGAGTTCCAAGCCTCTGGCCACTTCTCAGCCTGCCTAAAGGATGGCGTCCAATGCTGCCTTTACATGGCAACCCTAGGCAGCATGAAGCCGTTTCCATCAAGCTTACTTGAGGAATGATGCCAGCTCCAAGCGCCTATGTCCCCCAAGTTCTTGGGAAAGAAACCCTAGCTGCTTCCCACAGCAAAGCAGAAATGTCCCCAGCCCCTCCCCTCAAGGGCTCTTGCTCCTGGCCCCTCTTAGTCCCTCATCTCTATCTGGGGCTACTTCCCCTGTGTGGGACAGCAGGACACCATACTTATTTCCGTAAATAAGAGCCCTGGGCTGGGCTGGGCTGGGCTGGGCTGGGGAAGAACAGTCTTAGAAAGTGTTCCCTGACCACCCTGGGGGGCTTCCCACTCTCACTGCCATTGCTTCTGGGGCCCTTGGGAAGTGCTGTTTCTCCTGAGCCCATCACCATGGTATCAGCCAGGGAGGGGCTGGGCCCAGAGAGACATTGGTCCCCCAGCCACCCAGCAGACCTCCCTCTGCTCCCCAGAGACAGCGCTAGGATTAAGGTATCGACTTTCCTCGGCTTTCCAGGTGGCCCGTGGTTGGTGACTATTGAATTCGGTGCCCCCCATCCTGACCTGCAAAGGGTGGGTGGAGATGTTGGCCTGGTCTTGGGGTGGGGTTACAGCCCTGGGGGCAGAGGGTCAAGGGGCAGCCCACTGAAGAAGGGAGAAGGCTCCATGAGGAAGGTTTGGAGAGGCTCAGTCCAGCAACATCCCTGTCCACTAACACCAGCCTGCCACCATTGCCTGGGGCTTTTGCCTCTGTCTCCAGTCTCCTGAACCCGTCCTGATTTTTTACTTTGGAAGTTTATGATGTGGAGGCTGTATGTAGCTTCTGGGTCCATGTTCCCATGAAGGTGCCCCCGACTCCCGACCCCACCCCATGCTGTGGCTCCTACTGGAGTTGGCACAAGTCTTACGGCTGCTTAGGGTAGAGGGGTCCACACACCAAGCCCAGGATAGTGTGGAGTTTTCCCCCTTTATCTCTTTTCCCAGAGGCAGAATCCAAGCTCTGGTACCTTGCCCCTCCCCCATCTCTACTTGACTCTAGGCCTGGGAACCAGGGGCCTGCCCCCAGGGGACTCTCCTAAGCTCCACCCAAGCTGGGATGGGCTGAATCAGCAGCTGCGGTGACAGCTCCTGAGGACAGGAAGGGAATAGTTTAGTTTCTCTGAAAGTTAACACCCCCCCCACCCCGCTTGTGGAAGAAGAGACCCAGAACAGTGGTTCTCAACCTTCCTAACGCTGGGACCCTTTAATACAGTTCCTGGTATTGTGGTGACCCCCAGCCATAAAGTTATTTTCGGGGCTACTTTATAACTGTGATTTTGCTACTGTAAATCATAATGAAAATATCTGATATGCAGGATATCTGATGTGTGACCCCCTGTGAAAGGGTCTTTCGGCCCCCAGGTTGATTGATAACTCTTGCTCTGGAGACTTCCCAAAGGGCCCCGTTAGCATGGAAGGGTCTGTGAGTGCTTCATGGAGCTGGGCTTTCTGGAGAATACCAGTCACCTACCCTGCCACCCACAGACCCTGCATCAACCACAGCGCCACCCAGAGGCCGATAGAGTAGAGGATGTCGTATCCTCTCAGCCAGGATCCTCTAAGTCTTCCTGGTCCTAATGCTGCCAGGAGGATGCAAGTGGACCTTGAGCTGTGATGACCAGAAAGGGAATGCCGAGGTGCGGTGGGAAAACCCGAAGCACACACTTGGAACCGGAAGGAGGGCATCACAGGGACACCTAGCCCAGCCCCGGTGCTGGGAGTCACCGCTCCTGAACCCTCAGCCTGGTTCTGGCCACAGCGCCAGCCCGGGCATGCTCGCAGCCTCGTCACCCAGGGCAGGCTTTCTCCTACCACTCAGGCTGGGGCTCTGGCTACAAGAGGCACGGAGCTCCCAGGAGGAAGCCTGTGGTTTCATTAGCTCCCAGACACCTGGTCAGTGTGAGAAGCGCCCCCGCCATCTGCCTGTCACTAGGCTTCACTCCGGGCTGCCTAGTTCTGGACCCAGCGCTTAAGAGCAAACCCGATGTTGTGGTGGGCGGAGAGCAAGTCTCCAGTCAGACTGAGTGGGCTTTAGCTTCTCTGCGTTGTAATTTCCCTGTCTCAAAAACAGCTAGCCAACTTCAGCCAGGCTACTGTGGGAAGTCTGGGGAAAGGGAATCCTGAGGGGGGGGTTAGGGGGGGAGTGGGGGGCAAACTGGGATTCCACACACTGAGGGCCAGAGGAGGAGGTGTGTGGCTAAGGCAGAAAGCTGAGCCCGTCTGTCCTGGTGGCAGCAACTCGTCAGACCTGTTCAGCTCACCTAGGCAGCCTGGGGGAGGGCCCGTGGCAGCTTTGTGCAGGGATTAGCTGCAAGGAAGAGACTCCTCCTCACTCCCAGAACTACATGGTGCTGGGGGGGGGCTGCAGGAGGGGTTAGGTGCAGGGTGAGGGGCTGCGTAGGCTGAGGGAAGGAGGGGCCTCCTGTGGTACCCTCTTTTTGCTGCTCATTTGGTTGTCGTTGCTGTTTGAGGTGAGGGATCCGGGTAAGTAACCACTAGGGGAAACCCCAGCTGTCACCTTCTCTGCATTCTGAACTCTTCACACACTCCTCACCAGCATCCTGAACACAGGTGCACAAAGCCTGCCCAAGTTTTTTTTTTTTACATCTTTATATTTTACTGTGTGTGTGTGTGTATGTATGTATGTATGTATGTATGTATGTATGTATGTATGATGTATGTTGTGTGGGGTAGGAGAGTCATGGTCATAGGACAACCTGCGGGAGTCACTTCTCTCTTTGCGTCCTGTGTCCTGGAGATCAAACTCAGGCTGCGCTTGGCAGCAAGCACCTTACCCCAGCGAGCAATCTCTTCAGCCCCCACCCAGAGTGCTGGTGAAGTAGGACTGAAGGCCCAAAAGCCCTCCCTTCACTCCTCCGCCCCTCCCCTCCCTTACCTTTTGTATTCCCGGCTGAGGGTTTGGGTTTCAGAGCAACCTGGCCACCACCCTCCCCAGCCCAGTGTCTCAGAGTTACACGACTGTTCCTTAGTGTTGAGGACAATGGCAAAGCCCTGGTATGCATGGGGACTTAGTAAGAACAATGGCGACATCCAGGTCTGGGCAGGGACTCGGAGTTCCAAAAGTGTTGCTTTATACTGTGTCATTGGGTCTCAGCAGCAACCGAGAGAGGCAGGTAACAATGAATAACCCCCCTGTAAAGGAAGACCCTGAGGCCCAGAAATGGAAATGATTCACCCCAAGTCTCAAGCTAGTAGGAGAGTTTTGTTGCCCCACAGGGTAGGTAGCAACCCAGGGTTCCAGCCAGTGGTGAGTAGGCTGCCCCAGGCTTGGAGTTGGGGTCAGGGTGGTGCTCAGATAGGGCTTGCAAAGCCTCCAGCTTCTCTAGGCTCCTGTCCATAGTCTGTCCATCTGTCAGTCTGTGTCATGAGAATATCAGGGTTGCAGCTTCAGAGCTAAGCCACCCGAAGAGGACGGAAGATGTTGAAATTGTTCCAGCTAATGTCAGGGTGCACAAAAGACACCTGCTTGTGTCCTTGGGGGCAGGGGTGGGGGCGGGGGTGGCTCAGTGGGTCAAGGCACTTGTCACCAAGTCTCATGACCTGACCTCCAATTGTGAAAGGAGAGAACCAACTCCCGAGTTGTCCTTTGACCCCATACATGGGCTGTGGTATACTCATGCTCTCTCTCTCTCTCACACACACAAAATAAGTCATGTTAAAATGAAGATGCCGGGCAGTGGTGCACACCTTTAATCTTAGCACTCAGGAGGCAGAGGCAGGCAGATCTCAGAGTTTGAGGCCAGCCTGGTCTACAGAGTTCCAGGACAGCCAGAGTTACACAGAGAAACTCTGTCTCCAAAACAAAATTAAAAAAAAAAAAAAAAACAAAAAACCAAAGCCCTGCTTTCCAGGCCACTGTTTTTGACAACATTGGCCCAGCCCTGCTTTTCATGGTCTCCTCCCCATAGGAATCCTTGGGGATTAGTCACACACACACACACACACACACTCACTCACTCCTGTTGCTCCCTATATCCTTGGCAGGACCTAGAGCTGTGGATGGTCCCATCTACCCTACCCCAGGACTCTTCCCCTAGCCACTTACTGGGCTTTAGGTTATCAGGGTCACATTTGGCTGGGCCATTTGACTCCCTGGAGTCAAGAAGGGAGCCCACTAGAGATGAAAGCCTTTACTGTAAACAAACCGGCCTGGCTTTCAGTAAACAGCTGTCCTTACCCTCACAACAGATCCAGGGGCCAGGTGTCCGCTCATGAGCCTCAAGTGCCCAGCGAGGCCGAGGGGGGGCCACATGAGCCTTGGGTGGGGAAGGATAAGACCAAACATGTGAGTAATAGAGTAGCCACGAGGGAACCTAGCCCAGGCGGGGATGATGGCTTATCCAGCTTGCTTCAGTGCTAAGTGTCTGTTCACACCTGAACCCTGGGCCAGGTTCTCCTGCATTGCTCTGTGGGCTCCAAGTCACCACTGGAGGGAGGTAGAGTTGGAGAAGGCAGTGCTTGGACATTGTGGAATGACATGGCTGCTTCCTATATCCCTACAGCGCGAGCTCCGGCCTCGGCTCTGCACCATGAAGAAAGGCCCCAATGGCTATGGCTTCAACCTGCACAGCGACAAGTCTAAGCCAGGCCAGTTCATCCGAGCAGTGGACCCAGACTCCCCCGCAGAGGCCTCTGGACTCCGGGCCCAAGACCGCATTGTGGAGGTGATACCCTTTACAACATTCTCCGTATTCTCCCAGGCTCTTCCTTCCCGGTCTTTGCTGCTTCGGGCCAGCCCTACACCGCCTGTGATTTGATTAGCCCATGGGTTATGGGCAACCCAGAGATGCTGGATGGTGGGCAGCAGCATGGGTAGAGTGGAGGAACAGAGAGGAAGGGTGTTAAGTGTAGGCGGGCACTAGGACAGGCTGAGTGGTTCTGCTTTACCGAACACACACTCGGCACCCAGGATCTACCTGCCAAAATCCAGGGAGATGCCAAGATCACCTGCATGGCCTTCCTGATGCCTGAGTGCTCCGGGCCGGGCACGAGGATGGACCCAGTGCCCTCTCCTGAGTTCAGTTTTGAGACACTGTTCTTCAGCTGTGCTCATGACAGAGGAAATGTGAACTAAATGCTTGGGCTGCTCCCAGAATCACAGTGTGAGAACCTTAGAGCCGCAGATCAGCTCTTCCAAGACTTCTCACTTTACACGTGAGAAAACCAAGGCCCAGAGAGGGAGGTCAGAGGAGAGCCCAGTCCAGGATCCCAGGCCTCCCCTGGCTCCCAGCTGTGTTTGCATAGTCTCCTCTGGGCATTTCCTTTGCCTCTTCCCGTTTGTCTTGCTTCCCAGCCGACTGTCAGAGAACTGCTGACTGGCTGGGTTCGGGTCTAAGCACACGAGGGGATGCGGCATTCCCAGATGGGACTTCCTCCTCCTGCCCTCCCCAGCACCCAGACCTGTGTGGGTGACCCCCGTCCCTGCCCTACCTCACAGGTCAATGGTGTCTGCATGGAGGGCAAGCAGCATGGGGACGTGGTGTCTGCCATCAAGGCTGGAGGGGACGAGGCCAAGCTGCTGGTGGTGGACAAGGAGACTGATGAGTTCTTCAAGAAGTGCAAAGTGATCCCATCACAGGAGCACCTGGATGGTGAGTGCACAGCTGGGTGCCCTCAAGCCAGGGGTGTGGCCAAGTGCCTAGGGCTTGGCCAGAAATGGGGGGTTAGCTTCTTGACTTGTAAGGAGACACCTAACAGTATGGGTTGGTGGAGATTAGAAGCAGGAATGGGCCAGTCGTGTCTAACGGTGGCAGGTGATGGAAATTAACTGTCATGAAGGAGGGGGTGAGATTTTGGTTAGTACCAAGGCATGGCCTGGGCCTCTCCCTAGTCCAGTGAAGGAGTCCTCTGAGAAGAAAGAGTTAACTCTGGGGCAGCCTCCAGCCTTTGCTGGGCAGATCAGAGTCCAGTGACAGGGGCCCAGTGCTCCCTTCCCCCTTTGTCAAGTTGCCTTGGAAACTCAGGCTTGCTGACTCTGGAGAGTAATGGGTCCCCTTCAGGCCCTGCCCTCTCCCCTCCCCCACTGTCATCTTTCCAAGCCTGGCACCTCCTCCTGTTCAAGCCAAGCCAAAGTGAGTAGGGCCACCACACCAGGCAGGAGGGGCTGAGCACCCCTACTCCTTAGTCCAGACTTTCTGCCTGGGAAGATGGCTCTGGAAGTGTAATCTGTTGTGCTATGCCGAAAATGAAACCTGCCTGGACTTTGCAATAGTTGCGGCCTCCTATGGATTGAGATTGTAGTATTGTCCACATAACTCAGATCTCTGAGGCAGGAGGCCCTGGGGAGGATTCACATGGATCATAACCTAATATACAGAAGCACCCCCACTGTCTTCACTGGTCTCAGGAAGTGGACCAGCCTACCCCCTTTCGCAAGCCTTATGGGAGGTGACTTCCCCTGGGCCTGGCTGTCTCTCACTGACCTCTCCTGACTCCTCAGGACACTGCCTTTGAACCTTCTTGTCCCCTCATTTCCAGGTGCCAGATAGTTAACATTTGTTTGCTCTCCAAGGCAGCCAGGTGCCAGCTATATAATCTGAGGTGCGGCCCTAAGTCTGCTGTCAGCCCCTGAATGTGAGAATACCAAGGCCCTGCCCTGCCCTAGGGTGTACGTGGGTGGAGGTCAATTCTCCCCTTCTACCGTCTGGGTCCTGGGGACCCAACTCAGGTCATCGGGCCATCACTGAGCCATCTCTCTGGCCATACACAGGTGACTTTTTTTCGACTGGCTACCCTAAAACTCTATCCCATCTTAACTCTCCTGCAAGCCTGGCATCTTGGCATTGGGGATCAGATGTCAAGGGAGGCCCAGAAAGGTAGCTCAGTGGTAGGGCACTGATTAGTGTACGGAGGACTGTGTGTTTGGCCCCCAGAACTGCACCAAGTATTACTCTGTTATAGGGAGCTGTCTTGTCCATCACTGGTTGCCAGTCAGGATCAAGTAGTCCTCCTCAAGTATGATCCTCCCACGCACACACCCAAAAAAGTTCCCCCAGTTTGCCAAATGAGGCATTGTAAGAATAAGTTGTAGTTGAAAATACCAAAGTATGGCACTGTGGTGGGGTCTTGTTTTCTGAAATTGTCAAACAATCTTTCTGGGCACTGGGTCATCAAAATGCCAAATTACATACAGTGGGTTGCAGCCAAAAAAACGTTGTGGCCTTTGACCTCCAGTATGAGGTCTGGTGAGCTGCCCAGGGCATAGCTCTGGCCTCCTGCTCTCCTCCCCCAAAGTCTCTGGACTGACCTTTGCTGTTTCCCTCATCTAGGCCCCTTGCCTGAGCCCTTCACCAATGGAGAGATACAGAAGGTAAGGGGGTCCCCTACCCCCTTTTCTATGTGGACAGGGCGAGTGGTAGCATGGTTGGGAGTCTGGCTCAGGCTGACACATCAGGGATCAGTTCCAGTTTCTTCCTGAGCTCCAAGCCATGGGACTGCCAGGGTATCCCAGCCCCTGTCAGGGGTAAGGCTGTCACTTGGGAAAGGCTTGCCTGGGGCCCCTCGGCAGCCCCCGCCTCCAACTCCCACCACACAGAAGGGGCCATTCTTCCCCCCAAGAACAGAGCCTCAGTGTCTGGCTGTTGGTCCTGCTACTTCCAGTCTGAGTTGGAAGAACAAAGTCCCTCCCCTTGGGCACAAGGAAAGGGGGTGAGGCTGGGAGCCAGCCGAGGCCATGGAAGGACCCAGGAAGGGGCTGAGTGCCAGGCTCACACCCAGCCAAAACCTCTACTCTGGCATGGGCTGTCTCAGAATCAGACCACAGAGCCTGGAGTTGGCAAGAGCTGTTTGAAGGCTTCCTTCCTCTATAGGGACCTAGTGGAGGCAAGAGTCAGGCCATGGTCCCCACCTTTTGCCACCCATCCTTGGTTCTAGAACTTTCTATCATCTTATTCCCTAAAGACCCTGTTTGGCTACTTTGGGGTTAAGGCCTGGAGAGGGCTTCGAGGGTTAAAGGGATATGCTCCTCATGCCAAACAGGAGGACCTTGGTGGTCCTGTGCTCCAAGAAGCCCCTCTTGGGTTGCTGATCCAAAAGAGTGAGTCAGCGCTCAGAAGCGCTAGGGAGGATGAGAGATTCCGCAGTCCCGCCCCCTGCCCAGGTGATGGATGGAACCAGGCTGCCCCAATCCTTTTAGGAATGCAGTAATATAAATCTGGAATTTGGATGGGTGGCCAAGCCTGATCAAGGACCCTTCTCTCATCCCGGTCTCCTTTCCCATCCCCTGCCAACCCATTCCTTTTCCTCTCTGTTCCAGGAGGGCAGCCGTGAAGCCCTGGTAGAGGCAGCCTCAGAGAGCCCCAGGCCAGCCCTGGCGAGATCTGCCTCCAGCGATACCAGTGAGGAGGTAGGCAGGCCCCGTGGGGGTTGGTGGCTGAGTTACGGGAAGCCATTTCCAGGCCACTCTGGTTCCTGGCACAGTAGCCTGCCTTTGAGGTCACATGGGGAGGTGCAGTTTGTTCTTGTGACCTGGCTACCTTGGCCATGGCCCCAAGGGATCCACCTCTCTGAAACCAAGGACCAGGGAGCCCTTAGGGATAGACACTTGACTCTTTCTTCCTCTTCACAGCTAAATTCCCAAGACAGCCCCAAGAGACAGGAGTCCACAGAGCCCTCATCTACCTCCTCCTCCTCTGACCCCATCTTGGACTTCAACATCTCCTTGGCCGTGGCTAAAGAGCGGGCCCACCAGAAGCGCAGTAGCAAGCGGGCCCCGCAGATGGACTGGAGCAAGAAAAACGAACTATTCAGCAACCTGTGAACACCGGCCACCCACGGGCCAGCGCTGGAGGGTGGAGCTGCCCACCCACCCAACCTAGCTCCCCCTCTTCCCCAGTCACCCACCAATCAACATTCAAATCAGCATCCCCCTCTTCCTGACAAATCTGATTTTCTTAGGAATTCTGTTCTTGCCCACCTTAGGGAAGGGGAAGGTTTCTGTCCTGTCCCCTTACTCCTCCCTGAGGGCTTCATCCTACCAGGTGTCCCCTCACCAGTCTGCCTAGGACATCACCTGGACCTGCACCAAGCATGGACCTTTAGACCTCCCTCGACTACATGTGATGACCAAGTCCAGGGCTGACCAGGGACTGACTGTTGCAGCCACTGCTCATAAGAGGCAGGGTACCCGAGGTCCTCAAAGCTGTGGTTTGGCCTTCTTAGGTTTATTTGATTTTTTTTTTATATAGAGTGTAGCATCTTTTAATGATTCTTATGATTTTCCTAGTTGTTTGTACCCAGAGCATGGCAACAGCCTCATCCTTAAATTTTTGTTTCCACTTTAACCCCGAACGGCCTGGGCAGCACGGGGAACCCTGGCAGCCTCTGCCTGTCCTGGGCCAGGTGCCGCCATTGTAAGGACGTGCCTTCAGAAATTCACTGGTTCCTTTAAGCCACTTGAGCCTGTGCGTCTTCCTTTGGAGCTTTGCCTCAACCTTCAGGCAGTGGGCAGTGAGCAGCACTCCCAGGATGCAGACCTTTGCTTGAGAAGCGGGGTACTCCTGGAGGACCATCTCGGGCTCCTGAAACTCTAGTGGGCGTGCTTCGCAGCTACCCGAAGTCCACAAGGCCCCTCCAGCTCTGTCTGCTTAGCTCTGTGTCAGTGCACCCTGGGACAATAGGGATGTTTATGGTACTGTGGGGTGAGGAAGCTGAGGTCCACGTGCTGAGCGGGCTCTGAGGCTCCTCATTCCAGACGTGTGCTCCAAGTGAAGTCTTACTACTACAGAGCTGGGTTCAGGCTTCCTGCCCTGTTATCATCGTCTGTGGGCCCCCCCCCCCCCCGTCCTGTTATCATCGTCCATGCCTCCCCCTCCCCATCCTATTGTCTTCTGTGTGCTCCCCCTTCCCCCCCCAGGAGTACAGGATTCTCAGCAGTCTGCTGCGGACACCCTCCCTTATCTGCCCAATGGATTGGAAGGCAGATAACCAGCACAGGAGAAAACTAGTCCACTTAGCTGCAGGGCACATTGTGTGTCGAGGTGGGATGGAAGGGACCTTGCAAAGGGGAATATATTATACTGCCTTTCTACCAGGAGGCCCCTGAAGACCCAGCTGCTGGACCAGGCCCTAGGACAGGTGTTCAAAGATGAAGGGGAGTGTGACCACTCAGAGCCAGGCTGCCGGGCTGAAAGGAACAGATGAGGAAGACGATGGCTCTGGGCGAGAAGCCCTGGAGCCCTCTCTGGGCTGGGGGAAGGGCCGTCTCAGCAGCCTTAAACCATCCCGAGCCCTTATCACAGTACCTGTGCCTTGTACGTGCCTGCTCAGCTGGGCCTGGCCTCCCTTGTCCACACACACTTCCACCCTTTGACCCCAGGAGGAGGCCCCCAGGCTTGAAGGAGCCTCTCCCTACCTCACCTGCTGGGTGGAGAAGCTGTGAGGGACCTTTGGCTCTAAGCTGGACAAGAACTCCTGGCTAAGGTCTGGACCAGAATCCAAAAGGAGCCATTAACAAGCTTTGCCTCAAATTTAGGCATTTTGAATAGTAGATTTTCCCCTTGCAATCCGGGATAAGATGCCAAGAGCAGGGGCTGGAGGTCTTGGCAATAACTTTATGTAGAGCCATCTCACAAATGCACTCTAACTTCTGTCAGAGTTGTTTTGAAAATATGCCTGGCCTTTCTTGCTGACTACCTCAGGGTATGGGGACAGTTAGAAGTCAAAAGCAGGGGGAGGGGGATGGACACACAATGTGACACCCTTCTGTAGACCCTAGACAACTTTGCCTGGACATCCCAAACCTGTGCCACTGCTGCCCCCTAATGGCCCGGTTGGATGCAGCTGCCGGGAGACAGAAGGCAATGCGCTGACAGGAAGAGCAGTGGCCTCTGGTTCTCGCACCTGTAGTGGGCTCCAGGCTTCGCCCACAGGGTTGCTCCCCAGATACAAGGAGCTTTATCCAGAAGTTCTTCCCTCAGACCTGTCTGGCTCCAAAAAGCTGAAGGCAGGACCAAGGCCAGCAGGCAGCCCAGCCCCCCCTTCACAGGCCACCTATGACAACAGGATTGCCCTGCCCTGCCCCAGCCTTCGCCACCAGGAGGATGAAGGAAGGAACCAGGGAAGATGCCCAAACGCGTGTTTTACTCCACCGGGATCCCAGGAAAGGCAGGCTTTCCGACTTCCAGCTCCCACTTCCACCATAGCCTCGGTGGACTCCAGTAGTCTATCTGTTCCGTGCAGCCACGGTCCGCTTGTGGCTGGGAACAGGAAGGAGCCAAGGCAGGCTTAGGAGGGCCTGGATCAGCCTGAAGACACTGCACATTTATCCCCGATGCAGTTGTCTGGCCTGGGGAGTGGGTAGTTCCAATTCTGCTCACACAGGGTGGCTGTCACAGGCTCTGCCAAGCCAGCTCTATAGGGCTTCTCCTCCACGTGGCTGGTCTGCTCCAGAAGCCACTGCCGCTCTGCCTCACTCACTGCCAGTCTGAGCGTCACCTCCTGGAAGACGTTGCTAACAGCCACCTGTAGGAGCCGGGAGAGCAGACCTAGTGTTAGAGCCGAGTTCTAACACCAGCAGCTCTACTTCCCTAGGCCTCCCCCACTGGACGCCCTTACCTGCTTAAAATGAAGTTTCTGGAACATCCGGATGCTAGGCTCATTTTCTTGCCCAATTTTGGCCTCAAACTTGGTCAGACCGAGCTTTGTTACTCCTCCAGAGTTATTGGGGAGAAGGCAAGCGATAGAATGAAAACCTCCTCTCCTTAGCCCTCCTGCCCCAGCGATAGAATGAAAACCTCCTCTCCTTAGCCCTCCAATGAAAACCTCCTCTCCTTAGCCCTCCTGCCCCAGCGATAGAATGAAAACCTCCTCTCCTTAGCCCTCCTGCCCCAGCGATAGAATGAAAACCTTCTCTCCTTAGCCCTCCTGCCCCAGCGATAGAATGAAAACCTTCTCTCCTCTAACCCTCCTGCCCCAGGGATAGAATGAAAACCTCCTCTCCTTAGCCCTCCTGCCCCAGGGATAGAATGAAAACCTCCTCTCCTTAGCCCTCCTGCCCCAGCGATAGAATGAAAACCTCCTCTCCTTAGCCCTCCAATGAAAACCTCCTCTCCTTAGCCCTCCTGCCCCAGGGATAGAATGAAAACCTCCTCTCCTTAGCCCTCCTGCCCCAGCGATAGAATGAAAACCTCCTCTCCTTAGCCCTCCAATGAAAACCTCCTCTCCTTAGCCCTCCTGCCCCAGCGATAGAATGAAAACCTCCTCTCCTTAGCCCTCCTGCCCCAGCGATAGAATGAAAACCTTCTCTCCTTAGCCCTCCTGCCCCAGCGATAGAATGAAAACCTTCTCTCCTCTAACCCTCCTGCCCCAGGGATAGAATGAAAACCTCCTCTCCTTAGCCCTCCTGCCCCAGCGATAGAATGAAAACCTTCTCTCCTCTAACCCTCCTGCCCCAGGGATAGAATGAAAACCTCCTCTCCTTAGCCCTCCTGCCCCAGCGATAGAATGAAAACCTTCTCTCCTCTAACCCTCCTGCCCCAGGGATAGAATGAAAACCTCCTCTCCTTAGCCCTCCTGCCCCAGCGATAGAATGAAAACCTTCTCTCCTCTAACCCTCCTGCCCCAGGGATAGAATGAAAACCTCCTCTCCTTAGCCCTCCTGCCCCAGCGATAGAATGAAAACCTCCTCTCCTCTAGCCCTCCTGCCCCAGCGATAGAATGAAAACCTCTCCTCTAGCCCTCCTGCCCCTGTCTGCCACCTGCCTCCTCCCTTGTGCCTGAAGAAGGCTCAGCTGAGACTAACCCCCTTGTAGTCAGCTCTGTCTTACCATAGGACATCATCAGGAGAGACGCCTCGGTGCCAAGGCCCTTGCCTCTACAGCTGGGCTCTAGGAGAAAGGACACTGCTGGGACCAGGGACCAGGCTCCAGTACACTTTACAGGCACTAGCTCACTGGTCTGCCCACGGAAAAGAAAGGCACAGGCAGCGAGAGAAGGCATGAGGATCCCAGCAATCTGAGGCCCCCCTTCCCTTCACCAGGGAGCTCTTGGGAGAAGCGAAGGACCAAAGATTTAGGAGCAGAAGGGGCTCCTCCACAGCTTCTGAATCGCTTCTTTTTGGAGGATCCCCTCCTAAGCATACAACAGATGGAGTTTTGGAGACTAGAAACTCAGGGGGTTAAGGGATGGGAGACGGTGGTGGTAAAGGGCTTGCAAGGAAGACCAGAGTTTGATCCCCAGAACCCGTGTAAAAGGCCAGGTGTAACTGCATGCATTTGGAGCCCAGTACCGGGGAGGCACAGCCAGCCTGGTCTACCTGGCAAGCTCCAGGCTGATGAGAAGCCCTGTCTCAAAGAAACTTCAAAAACAAAAAACAAAACCTAGAAAGATGGCATATGAGGAATAAAAGCACTCGTGCACACGCGCGCACACACATACACACACGCAAGCACACACGCCCTCACGCCAGCACACACACACACAGGATAAGTTCATACCAAGACATATGGGAGAAAGCATGAACCCAAGGGTTGATCACTATGCCGGGTGTGGGACAGGATAGCAAGCTGACAGTCAAGACCTAGCTGCCCACAGCTGACTGAGCTACCCCTGGGCGCCTACTAAGCTCTGTGAAGTTCTGGCTGGGTCAGGTGGGACAAACCTGCAATCATGACCTCGATCTCCCCCAAGGTGGGGTCCTCCAGATCTGTGAGGAAGAGGTTCACATCTCCCACCATGCAGCTCTCTTCGGGAGGCCGAGGCTGGGCCTGCCACTTTGCTGCGTCCAGCACAATGAAGGTGCACTCTGAGGGTGGAGGTGACGGTTAGGGCCTGCAGTCTTCCCAGGAAAGAGGTGAGCATGGGGTTCCCACCCAAGTCAGAGCACAGCAGGAGAAAAGGGGCCCAGAGCCTGGTACACAGTTCCCAGTCCGCCTTTGATCTGAAGCGCGGGAGACGGACATGTCCAAGAGGCGTCTGAACTCAAAGGAGCAAGGGACAGGAGAGCAAATCCTAGATTGACAGCTAGAAACCAAACTGCTTTATCCTCTCTAAACCCCTCCAAGCCGGGTGCCCGCTCAGGAAACAGGACAGTGCAGCCAGCCACAGGCACCACTTCAAGTGGCTCAAGTGTAAGCAGCTGACAAACGTCTTGGCACCGTTTAGTGACCCCCTGAGCGGGCCAGTGGCTGGGAGGGGAGAAAGGAAGGAGAAGTGGAGGCCGCCCTGGGGGTGGGGGTGCCCCTCACTGTCTTCGTCTTCACGCCAGCTGCACTGCATCTCGTACTCCTGCTCTAGGGTCAGCAGCTCTGAGGCCGTCAGGTGCCGAAGTTCCTCTGACTTCATCCACTCGTGGTACCTGGGGGCGGGGACGGGGAGGGGCAGCAAAGACTCGGAGTTAGATGAGTGGTACCATTTCAACAGGGTGGTTTCGCTGGGGAGGGATAGCCTGGGATGAGGAGGAGGAGGAGGAGGAGGCAGGAGGCAGGAGGATCAAGAGTTGGAGGCCAGCCTGGGTTACAGGAGACCCTCTCTGGAGAGGATGAGTGCTCGGGCTTTGTCTGAGGAAAGAGACCAGTGTCAGTCTGTCGGCGCCAAAATTCCAAAGAGCTATGAAGGGTAAAGTTACGAACAAACACACAGTGTGGGTTTGTGCCCTCTGAGATGAGGTGGAAGGCTGGGATCTGGCCCCACAGTACCGGGAGAAGACTCAAGGAGAAGGATATGGCCAGTCAGAAAAGGCTTTCCCCAAGCAGCAGCAGAGAGGGGCAGCCCGATGTGCCCAGCTTCCCACCCAGCCAGCGCAAAGCCAAGCATTCCTCCAATTCCTGAGGATAAGTATATGCCAAGCCAGCCTCAGCAAGGAGGATTGGGCAGACCTCCACAAGACAGGGTGCCAGAGACCTCTCCAAAGCAAAACTATTGATAATCTCACACACAAACACACACACATCCTCTACGAAGCCAGTTTCTCAATGTACCAGACATTTGCTAACGAACGCCACAAAGTGTGTCTGCAACTCACTTCTGGCCTTTTAAACAGTAGGCATCAAAATAATGTGACATTCAACATCTGATACCAGGAAATGCCATCAGCAACTTAGAACAGGGGAAGAAGACACCTCTTTGTGTTTTGCTACACACACCTAGATGATGTAGTTCCTACTGGAAAAGCCAAGAAGGAAGCTGAGAGGTGAAAAGGGGGGAAAAAAAAGGGGAAATGAGTTCTTCCTGAGTGTAACTTTTCCCCCTTTGAGACACGGCCTCACTATGGAGCCCTGGTTGGTCTGGAACTTACTATGTCGACCAGGCTGGCCTCAATCTCTTATATTTTCGGTTGTGAGCCTAGCCTTTAATGGCTGAGCCATTCCTGCAGCCCGACCTCAATCTCACAGATCCACCTGCCTCTGCCTCTTTGGGTATAGTGCTGGGATCAAAGGCGTTGCAGCGCCGCACAAGTAATAAACAAAACCGACTCTGAGATTAGGAACTGAGAAAGGCCTTTTCACTGCGCCCATTTCCAACAGCCCCTGCCCCACCCACGCAGCTACAACTGCTCCCAGCCAGGTGAACAGTTACCTAGGCACATGCTCGGAGGTGTAGGGTACTAGGGCCACCTTCTTGCCCAGCAGCACGGTGTTCTGATTCAGCCTCATTGCCGCTGCCTACAGGTGGGCGAGCTAAAGACTTCTGAGCCCCAAGTGTTTTACCACGTAGGGTGGAAACTCAGGCTCTTCCTGCAGAGTTGGGGATATGTTAACAAGGGGGCGTTCTGCCTTTTCCTCACAAATACGTGAAAGAACAAAGTTCCTAAAACTCTTGCCAGGAAAAAAAAAAACAACAACCAAAACGGTCAACAATCCTCGGTTCTCATCTCAGGGGCTGGCCAAGTACTGGCTGCGGTTTCTACCCCCAAGAACTTAGATCTATCAAACCCGAGCGCCTCATAATCAGGATTCCGATGCGGGGAGCCCACCCCTCTTCAAGCCTGTTTCCAACCTTCCCTCCAGCCTCCCCGCCACCCGGCTCTGGCCCTCCCCGTTTCTGGTCCCCAAACCCCACACCAAGTTCCAAAGCCTCAACCCTTTGCCTGGCTCGACACTTGTTCCTCGACCCCTTAACAGCCTTAAAGTGCAAACTGCCAAGCTCACACCCATCCCCCGCCGAGGAAGGGCGTCCCCAACAACAGGCGCCAGCGCCTCTTCCCAGAGAGCCAGGCTTTCCGCATGCGCGGGGGACGCGGACCCGCCACTTCCGCCACGCAGACGGCGGCCGCTGGGCCCAATCCCGGCCACGCCCCCGGGAGGCGCCCAATCAGAACCGCGTGCCCCTCCCGACGCGCTCTCCTGGGAGGCGGGGTTGGGGAGCATGCGCATGCGCGCAGCGGGCCCTGGTGCGGGACAGCTGGCGCCGGGTGGCAGCAACAGAACTGGAGGCGGTGGCCACTGTGGCCAGGAGCTAGCTGTGCTGCAGGTCTGGGACGGGCGGGAGGGTAGCATACGGTGGAGGCTGATCTGAATTTTGGAGCCTCACCAGGAGGGAGGGGAGGGAGAGGCTCAGAGCTGGGGTCTTGAGAAGGGAGGGAGGTTTAAGGGTGGGGGGACCCTAAGGTAGGGTAGAAGTCCAGGTGAGAGAGCAGGGGACCCCATTTAAAAGCAGCTTTGGGGCAAGGAGTTAGGATGGAGGGGCGCCCTAGGAAAACCCCGACTCTTTCTCTGCTGTGGGTGGAGAGGCAGACCGTTGTGCGAGCTGTCGTGTATAGTAGTGAGCTCACAGATACTGGAATGAAATTGACATACGCACCTTAGGTTAGAGGTGCTTAGTGGCTTCGCAGGCTCCTCAGCCACTTGGGGTGTGAGCAGAAGTGCTTTGCATAGCAAGAGTGAAGTCAGAAGGGCTTGTCCAGGGAGCTACGTCCCACCAAGGCGGTGTCATGACAGACCCTGAGGCCAAGGGGTCTCGAGATAAAAGGACTAGAGGGGAAAGAGGCAGGCCGCAAGTCTCCCCATCCCCATCTCGGTCCATCAGAAAACTAAGCTCTACTCTTTCGTCTTAGGAGCCGCAGCTCGCACACGTGCTGGCCTTACACGGAAGCAGCCTCTGCGGCCAACCCTTCTCATTCTGTGGAGATGGCGGGTGAAATCACAGAGACCGGGGAGCTCTATTCTCCTTATGTGAGTTTTCCTCCGTCAATGTGCTCTGCCCACCGTGGTGCCCCTGGTATCTGGAGAAGCCACTGTCGTCCCTGGGCCGTGTTAGTGACTGTCCTGGTTTAGGTAGACCCTCGTGAAAAACGAGACCGAAACTTCCTAGGCTGAACTCAGGGTTCAGCCGTCTTGGCGCTCAGACTATAAATATTCGTCTTGAAGGGATGGCGCACGCCTTTAATCCCAGCACTCAGGAGGCAGAGGCAGGAGGATCTCTGTGAGTTCGAGGCCAGCCTGGTCTCCAGAGTGAGTTCCAGGACAGCCTCCAAAGCTACAGAGAAACCCTGTCTCGAAAAACAAAACAAAAATTCAGGCTCATTCCCCTTTTTGTTTAGTTGGTATTTTTTAAAGTTTTTACTTTTTAATGACTCCTCTGTGAGTGGATATGTGCATGCCTGCCAAATCCAGAAGAGGGCACCAGAGCCCTGGAGCTGGAGTTTCAGGTGGTTGTGAGCTGCCCAGTGTAGGTGCTGGGAATTGAACTCAAGGCCTCTGCAGGAGCAGCGGGTGCTCTTTTTTTAATCTCTTTTTTTGAGATTTTGAGACAGTCTTTTCTCACTTTACATACCAATCCCAGTTCCCACTCCCTCCCGTCCTCCTGTTCCCCCCACCTTCCCCTCACCCCCCCCATCCACTCCTCAGAGAGGGTAAGGCTTCCCATGGAGAGTCAGTGAGGTCTGGCACACCGCTGTGAGGTAGGCCCAAGGCCCTCCCTGCTGTATCTAGGCCGAGCTAGGTAACCCTGCAAAGAGAATGGGCTCCAAAGAGCCGGTTCAAGCAGTAGGGATGAACCCTGGTCCCACTCCAGCAGAGGCTCCTAAGTGCTGAGCTGTTTCTCCAGGTCCAGACAGCGTCAAGCCAAACACAACCAACTTGCTAGTCTCCCATAATGTGTGTCTCGGACTTCTACCGATTGCTCTCAGCTCTGCCGTGGAGATGGCCGTCACTGACAGCTGTTGTCTTAGAGTTCCGTCCACCTCAGCAGTCTGCATCCCCTTTCGTCTTTAGCTGAATTTTAAGTTTCGCAACTTTTATGGTCTGGGATGTTGAAAGAGGCAGTGAACTGCAGAGACTTCCAATTGCAGTTTGGTAGAGGCTGCAATGATGCCAATTAGAGCGATTGATTTCTCCCTGCTTTGAGTCTATGGCCCCCCCTCGGTCCCCCCACACTCAGTTTATCTTCTCTGCATAACAGCCCGCTGGTTGTGGTTATTACAGCACGGGGGGGCCTTAACTAGATGTGAGGCTGGAGGTGATCCTGTGAATAACCAGCATTGACTCACACCGCTGCCGGCTAATCGCCACGGAAAGCGGCTCTCCTCCACGGAGCCTCCTTTTCTAGAATTTTCCCAGCTTCAGCAGCTGCTCTGCCCCCCTCGTATTCACCTCTGTAGTTCACCTGGGGAGGTCTGTCTTGAATGCTGGAGCGGAAGGGACAGTGACCCGCCTGCTTGTGCAGTCGTGTGGTACTTGCTAGTCTCCTCTGTCAGCAGTAAGATGTCCTCACTGTCCCCAGAAGTTGACACAGTTCCTGCTTCTTCTTACAATAACTAAACTGAGAGACAAGGAAATGAGTCATTGCCGTGACTGAGTTCTAGAAGGAGAGTGGTTTATGTCCCCATTTCTTGTGCTTCCACCTGCTCAAGTGACCCTTGACGCCGGCTACCGTGTGTCCATAGGAAAAGGGACAGTTAGGCGTGCGTGCCACAGGAGCCCTGCTCCCCCAGATCCCTCTTTTTCTCTTGCATTTTATATGTGCTTTTATTTTATCCGAGGTCATTGCAGTTGCCATAAACAAGTGCTGGGGTTTGTTGTTGATGTTGCTTTTTAAAATCTTAAGAGTAGGGGCTGGAGAGGTGGCTCAGAGGTTAAGAGCACTGGCTGCTCTTCCAGAGGTCCTGAGTTCAATTCCCAGCACCCACATGGTGACTCACAACCCTCTGTAATGAGATCTGGTGCCCTCTTCTGGTGTGCATGCAGGTAGAGCACTTATATAAATAAGATAAATAAGTCTTTAAAGTCTTAATAGTAGAGAGAGGTGTGGGAAAAATGGCGATGGGCAGTATTAGCCAGGAGGTGTCCATGGTTGTAATCTTCAGTTTTCTTTTAAAGATTTATTTTTTATGTGTATGAATATTTGGGCTGCATATATAGGTCACATGCATGCAGTGCCCACCAAGGCCAGGAGTGGACGTCAGACCCCCACCCCCCATCCGCAGGACTGGAGCTATATCTGATTTTAAGCCACTGCGTGAGTGCCATGAATTGAACTAGGGCCCTCTGTGAGAGCAACAGGTGCTCTTTATCACCAAGCCATCTCTCCAGCTCCCAGGAGTCTTTTTTTTTAAAGACTTAATTATTAATTATTATACAGTGCTGCATGTATGCAGAAGAGGGCACCAGATCTCATTACATGTATTCATTATTATACAGTGCTGGGAATTGAACTCAAGACCTCTGGAAGAGCAGCCTCTGAGCCTCTTACCTCTGAGCCATCTCTACAGCCCCAAGTCTTTTTTTTTTTTTAATTAGTCTTTTTGAGAATTTTGTACAATGTGTTTTGAACATACTAACCTCCTCCTCCCCCCAGATCCATCCTGCTTCCCTACCCGCTCCTTTGTGTCCTTTTTTAAAAAAACAAAACAAAAATCTATCAAGTTCAGTTTGTGTTACCAATGCATTCTGGGACATGTGGCCTTCTACTGGAGCATGTGTCACGTGTCACTTACCAGGGGCTACTGATTCAGCAGCTTTCAGTTGCCGATGGTTACTTGATTCAGTACCCTCCTTCCCCCCGAGCTGGGATTTCGTCACATTTGAGCTTGCACAGGTCCTGTGCAAGCTGTCACGACCACTGTGAATTCAGGGCTGTTTCCCTGTAGCCGCCCACGGCCTCTGGCTCTTGTATTCCTTCCCGTTCCACCGCCTCACCCACCACCTTAGGGTTTCTTCATCCACCACCCTAGAGTAAGGATGAGAGAGAGAGGGAGGGAGGGAGGGAGGGAGGGAGGGAGGGAGGGAGGGAGGGAGGGAGGGAGAGAGAGAGGGAGAGAGAGAGAGTTGGTTTTTGTTTTTAATATTTTGCTTGCATGTATGCCTGTGTACCATGTGCCTGGTGCCCACAGAGGCCAGAAGAGGCCATGAGAGCCCCTAGAACTAGACTTACAGATGGCTGTGAGCTGCCATGTGGGAGCTGGGAATTGAACCTGGATCCTCAGAAAGAGCAACCAGTGGTCTTAACGACTAAGCCATCTCTCCAGCTGCACACCACCACCAACTACCCCTGCTGCTGCCACCTCCCTCCCTCTCTCTCTCCCCTCCCCCTTCTTCCCAGTCTCCTTAGAATTGTTCTCTGTCTCTCTCATTTTTCAAGACAGGGTTCTCTGTGTAACAGCCCTAGCTGTCCTGGAACTGACTTTGTAGACCAGGCTGGCCTCAGATTCACAGAGATCCACCTGCCTCTGCCCCTGAGTGCTGGGATTAAAGGCGTGCACCAACACAGCCTGGCGGAATTATTCTTACTTTAAAACCCTGTTGTGTGTCTGTCTATGAAGATGAGTGCAGGTGCCTATGGAGGCAAGAAGCGAATTATGAGCTGCCTGACGTGGGTGCTGGGAACCAAACTCTGGTTCTGTGCAACAGGAGTAAGTGCTCTTAACCTGTAGTTTGCTAGTTCAGCCTGGCCGCTGGGCAGCAAGCTCCAAGGGTCCTCCTGTGTCCCTAGTGCTGGGATAACAGTCTTACTATGCAGTGGCTGTCCTGGAACTCACTATTTAGACCAGGCTGGTCTCACACTCGTAGAAATCCACTTGCCTCTTCCTCCGCGCCCCGCTGACCCCCAGGTTTCCTTGTGTGTACTCAGGATTAAACTCAAGTCCTCGTGTTTGCACGGCTTTACTGACGGAGCCGTCTTCCCCAACCCTACAGACTCACACACCGTGCCAGCCTTCTGAGTCCTTTGACTGCCACCAGACGGGCTCTTCAGGAGATGGTGCGTGGTGTCGTGGGTGTCTTCTGGCTGGAGGAGAGGCAGATAGAACCCTGAACTAGGGTTTGGGGCTCCTGGGGCTGGGCTCCCCGAGTTCAGCCACAGACGAGTTGGGTGAGCCTGCCTGTGTAAGCTTCTCCAGGGAACACAGCAGGGTCTTACTCCTTCGTCTACTCTCTGCCGCCCCTCCAAGGAGGTTGCTTTCCCACTGTCATGTGACCTCTTTTTCCCTTAGCACAGCTCCTCTTGACCTGGCCTGTGGCTGAGTTGAGAACAGCTTCCTTTTGTCGGTTCCTCATGACCGGTGTTCATTGAAACCTTTCCCCAAAGTAAAGAGGATCTAATATGTTACCAGACTGCTGAGACCCACAGATGGCAAAGGAATCCTGCCTTGCCCCCTGAGTTCCCAACGGACACACAGTGTTTACTCTGGACCTAAAAATAGCAACAAAACAGGACAGCTTCTGTTTCCTAGTTTATTCTTTTAATTAAAATTTTGTGTTTTCCGTGAATATATGTAAGTGTATCAGATGATTGTGGTTCCTACAGAACCCAGAAAAGGGCACCAGATCACCCAAAACTGAATTTATAGATGGTTGTGAGCTGCTATGTGGTGCTAGGAATGGAACCCATGTCCTCTGGAAGAGCAGCCGGTGCTCTTAACTACTGAGCCGTCTCTTCTACCCTACAAATGCTTTTTTGTTTTTGTCTTTCCAGACAGGGTATCTCTGTATAGCCCTGGATATCTTGGAACTTGCTCTGTAGACCAGGCTGGCCTCAAACACAGAGATCTATCTGTCTCTGCCTCCCGAGTTCTGGGATTAAAGGAGCCCAGCTTCTACAAATGCTTCATAGACTACTTGATTCTCCCATAAAGTTTTTGCCTAAATACTGTCGCTTTCTTAAAGCCCTCTGTCTTTTCCTTATTTCTACCGTGAGAAAGCCTCACTCAAATTGTTTTCATAAGGTTCTCACTCCT